TATTTATTAAATAATTATTTATTTTAATATAATTATTATTACTTTGAAGATTTTTAAATTTTTTTGAAATAAAAATTCTAAAGTTTATTATTTTAAAAAATTTCCTGATATACTTTCTATCCTTAAAAAAGAATAGGAAAAAAAAAGAAAACAAAAGGATAGGAACAAAAAAAGATTGCTTCTCTTCTACTTACAACTTTAACTTCACCTAATACTTTTATACTACTCCTTCAACTAAAAACTGTCCAACTCTTTCAGGAACCAATTATATTATCAGTTTAGTATTGCATGACTGAAAACATATGAGGAGTATATATCTTGTTTATATTTTCTGTGACTGATGTGATTAATCAATCTGTGATCTTGACCAATTATCTTTCAGAAAATCCAGTATGACCAAAAAATTCAGGATCAAACTGAGATAGGCAAAATTCCTCAGAAAAATCAGAAAAAATAAAGCATGTTTGAGAAAGAAGAAGTAGAAAGCTCAAGAGATAATGGAAAGACTGGAGGCTTCTTTGTTCTTGTTTTTCTAGATTTTTGAATCTTTTGAGAATCTTTGGAGTATATTTTTTCTTGTCAGTTTTTTTTCTGTAAAGGTATTCTTGCCATAAATCTTTTAGGTAGGTTTCTTGTATTTAGTCACAAAAATAAACAAGAAAAATGTTTTGAAAAAGAAAAATAAAACAAGTGATAGCTTCTGCTTACTTAGCTAGTTAAAAACTAGTGATGTTTTAAGGAAAGTGTATAAACTTTATTATCATAAAGACAAAAATCTTTTGAGAATATCTGTTTTTTGGGTTGGCAAAAGGATTAGTAGAAAGAGTTCTTTATAATTATAAATTTTTAAAATTTAATTTTATAATAATATATGATATATATTAATTATTATTTTATTATTATTATTATTATTTTATTTTATTTTAAAAATTTTTAAAAATTTATTTATATATTATATAAATTATTTAAATATTAAATAATAAGATTTAAATATTTTTAATTAATTAATAATAATAATAATAATAATAATAATTAAATTTTTATTTAAAAAAATTAAAAAAATTAATTTAAATATTTTTATATTTTATTATTTGAATTTCAAATTATAATTTATTTTAATTTTAAATTTAAATAAGTTATAATTTTTTTTATTAGTTATAACAAATATAATTTTTTAAATTTTATATTAAGTTAAAATATATTAAATTAAAATTTCAACTATTATATTAAAAATAATTATATACTGTAGTTTGATTAAAATAAGATTTAATTTAATTTATAATATTATAATTATCCAAAAATAGAAAATTCTATTTTTATATAATTTAACTTGATTTATAACTTATATTTTGTAATCAAATATATTTAAATTCTAAATTTTTATTTAATAAATTACTTTTTAATTATGTTTTAATTTTGAATATTATTATAAAAATAATATTTAAGTTTTAACAATCTTTGAAAAATATTTAAGAAAAAATTATTATATAATTAAAATATCAATATACAGTATATTTTTTTTATAATTGTATTTTATCTTATGTCATTTGTTAATTTAGAATCTAATTAATTAGATCAGAAGTGATAAAGATATTTTAAATTTAAAACAAAACTATAACTATAAATGTCAATACTAAATCAGTATTGATTTTAGATTTTTAGATTGTAATTGAACATTCAATATAAAGTAGAAATTTATATGCTAACGCTATCAGTCCTAAACGTCATTAGTCTGGTATTCAATTAAAGATTCCGAAAATTAGACAAAAAAAGTAATTATGATGAAATTTATGTACGGTAACGATTATAAGAGATCGTTATCGTTAATGTATTAATCTAAATTTATCGAAAGAAATGATCAAGGTGATCGTCAATCTCGGATAGAATTTTTAATAAGAATTTGTGGGATTTGTGGGATTTTGTTCAGGATTCTTGAAAAATGAAAGAAAAAGTCTGTCTTATATGTATTGACGGTTGGGGAATTTCGTTAGCTGAAGACTCGGAAGGTGATGCAATTCGTCATGCCAATACGCCGGTAATGTCCAGGTTTAAAGAAGAATATCCCTATACCACTTTAGAGGCACACGGCCTTTCTGTTGGCTTACCTGAAGGGCTTATGGGAAATTCTGAAGTTGGTCACTTGAATATTGGTGCTGGTCGCGTCGTTTATCAGGTAGGTGAATCTTTGTAAATTAAATTTACTACAATTAGACCAAGTTAACTTATTTTCTTTATAGGATATTGTAAGAATTGACTCATTAGTAAAGCAGAAAAAATTTAATGAAGTCGAAAACATTATTAAATGTTTCGAACATGCAAAAGAGACTAGTGGAAGAATTCATTTTCTCGGATTGGTAATTTTTCATTAAGTTTTTCTGATCATTGATGGACAAAAGCTAATTTTGCTTTATACAAATAGGTTTCAGATGGTGGCGTTCATAGTCATATCAACCATTTAATACATCTTTTAGAGACCGCAAAAAATTTTGGTATTCCAAAAGCATTTGTTCATTTCTTTGGTGATGGTCGTGATACCAATCCTCGTTCATCTGATAAATATTTCGAACAACTCCAAAAGGCCATCGACGATCTGGAATATGGTCAAATAGCTACTATCATTGGAAGATATTATGCCATGGATCGAGACAAGAGATGGGAAAGAATAAAGATTGCAGTTGAAGCTTTAACAAAAGGCATTGGTGAAAAATCTCAAAATCCTTTAAACGTGAGAATTACAAACCTATTATAAACTAGATAATCTTATATTTTTATAAATTCATTATATATTCTTTATTCATTATACAGACAATTCAAGAACGTTTTTCTAAAAACGAAACAGACGAATTTTTAAAACCGATAATAATCTCCGAGGATGGATTAATCAAAGGTGGGGTCATCTTATAATGTTTTAACTTACTGCCGAATTTTTATTTACCCTTTTCTGTACCTGTTACAGATGGTGATACTCTTTTCTTTTTTAATTTTCGTGCTGATCGCATGCGTCAAATTGTTCAAACCTTTGGAGTGTCTCCACCTCCATTTGAAATCGACGTTCCGAAAGATCTTGTACGTATTGAGCAAATTAATCGATCAATTAGTTAATTTTCTTCTTAGAAATTGACGATATTTGAATCATTAGCATGTTACATCTATGACTCGATACAAAGCCGAATTTCCTTTTCCGGCTGCATTTCCTCCGCAGGTCATGGACAATGTTTTGGCGGAATGGCTCGCGAAGAATGAAATACCTCAATGTCACGTTGCCGGTACGCATTCTGTTTTTCTCTTGGCTGAAAGTTTTTAAAACTTTATAATTATTTGTTATCGTGGTGTAGAAACCGAAAAATATGCACACGTGACCTTCTTCTTTAATGGCGGTGTTGAGAAGCAATTCGAACGCGAACATCGAGATCTTATTGCGTCTCCAAAAGTTGCTACTTATGACCTCAAGCCCGAAATGTCTGCTATCGAAGTTGCTGAAAAAGTTGCAGAAGAGATATCTAGTGGAAAATTCCCATTTGTCATGTGCAACTTTGCAAACCCGGACATGGTTGGACACACTGGAATATATGAAGCAGCAATAAAAGCCGTTGAAACAACAGATAGAGCTATTGGAATCGTTTATGATGCATGTAAAGAAAATGGATATATTCTTTTTGTTACCGCTGATCATGGTAATGCAGAAATGATGCAAGATGATAAGGGAAACCCTCATACAGCTCACACATGTAATCCTGGTAAGTTTGATGCACCTTTTTTCTTGGATTCTTATGAATTTTTTGTGATTTACTAATATATATTGAACTTTATAGTACCATTTGTAATGACCTCCAAAAATCATTCATTTAAGGATGGGGCCAAAGGAGCTCTATGCGATGTGGCTCCTACTATTCTAGATGTTATGGAATTGGAAATACCCAAAGAGATGACTGGAACATCTTTATTAAAGAAATAATTTTATATCACATATTTTTACAATTTTCATTAGTCATAAACAATATCATATATATAGGATGTGTTTTATATTGATGAATTAAATTAAATGTTAAATAAATCCATAAAAAATTTTTTAAATAAAATCATATATTTATGCTGATTATTTATATTGATTAATAATGTTTAATATAATCTTAAGTATATTTGGTAATGACAAAGTTTTAAGTATAATTACAGTTTATTATTTAGACCAAAAATTTTAAATTCAAATATAAAAAATCATTTAACAAAAATTAAATAACGAAAAATAATCACAATAATAAAATATAATAATAATAATAATAATAATAACACTATAAACTTATTTATTAGAAATATATATACAGTATATATTAACTTAAAAAATCATTTATTATTTACTATTCTAATTTTAAAATTGATTTAAACAATCCATTCTTTATTACACATTTTGTTATATACATTATACACCGCATAATAAAAAAAGAACAGTGAATAAGTGCTAATTTTCTTATGTCACGTTTCAAGTATCTAATAGCCAAAAAAATTTTTTTTGTAGTTTTATTTTTGTTTTAAAAAAACCTTTATTTTTTAAACTAATATCTAATGAGAATTAGTATTTTTAAAATATCATAATAGTAATTACAAAAAAAAAAAAAAATACACTAAAAAATAAAAAATATAATTATTTTCGAAGGCAGAAATTTTTTGATCTCCATAATTGTGATCCTAAAATTTTTATTATACCAAAGATAATTATTACTCATTTAAATCCTAATTTATTTTTAGGACACATTAAAATTTAAATTTTTTAAAGTTAACCATTAAAAAGAGAATCTTAATTAATTAAAAACTTTTTCTTTTATTACATGCAATATATTGAGTAGTTTTGTTTAGAAAAAAATGGTATGTTGAAAATTATGTGTATAAAGTATATTCTGTTTAACATAATTTTCTATTTACGAAATGAGCATTTATCTAGTTAGATGATCGGTTTACGAACATGAAAATTTTTTTTTATAAAAAAAGAATTTATGACGCGATGATATTAAAGAAATGATAAACCTCCTCTTGATCCATTACGGCGACCTTGGTTCCGCAAATCTCGCATTCCACAGGGTAATAGATCTCCGGCTGTTCCCGGGATGGTTCAGTGTTGAGCACCTTTCCCTCGGCGTCGTAATCGCATTTATCACTGAACTCGTTGGAAGTAACTTCCCGAGATTGAAGATTTGCCTTCTTAGAAGGCAGGGATGATGAGTTTCTCTTGTTACTATGATTTGATCGTTTACTGTGTTCGCTGTATACAAGTCGTTCCGATCTATTTACTTTGCAGTTTTCCACAAATATCGCTCTGTATTGATTCACGTATGTTTCATGCCTTTGGCGGATATTGCGGGAGACCCATTGCATAATTCAAAAATATTACATGGTGAAACGACTCTCAAATGCAAAAAAAAAAATAGCCAGTACGCAAAACGAGTGCATACCTTTGTGTATGGTAGCTAAGATTAGTGAAGCACATGGGACATGAGAGTATCGCATCTGTTCCTAGAATTACCGAAGGATTTTTATCAACGTTTTGCATCGTCGAAGACATTTCATTATATTCTATTGAAGATGACGATATGCGTTAAAGAAATAGCGTAGGATTCATGAGAAAGAAAAGTATCGGAAAATTTACGAGTAATTTTATTCTCCATCCAAATTTCATCTTCATCATCCATGCCAGGATCGTACAGAAGCTCATCTGGCGATAATTCTTTTCGATTTTTAGTCGACTTGGCTTTCTTCGCTGTTAGCTCTTTTGTCAACAAAATTACAATGGAAGGTTAGGCGTATCTTGTAACCAAAATGTCTGGGTGGCATTTTCTCCGGGAGATCAAGGGTTCTTACCCATAGCGTTGGGTTCACCATCACCTTTTTCTTCACATTCGTCGTCTGTACTATCTGAATCGAAATATATATCATCGTAATAACCATCTTCCCTGGGAAGATCATTTTCCATTATCGGAAGAGGTATAGAAAGAGAAGACAGCTTGCAGTTTCAACATGTATTTATGCTTTATTTCACGTGACATTAAATACGAATCGATTTCTATAAATAGGGCAAAGTAACCAGCAAAAAACGTTACTGCCACTTATTAACCATACGCACTTGGGATTCAACGAAAATGACGACTAATATGGATATTATAACACCCGACGAAGAGGATACCTCACAAGCACCCGTTTCTCCGGTGGTGTCAAATGCTCCCAACAATTCCGGTCTAATGGTAGCTTTGTAAGCGTTGCTTTCCTTGGAAACGTTCTGGTTTTGGTAGACATAGAGACGGCCTTTAATAATTTGGTCTTAATTCAGACATCCGTTGACATTACTGAACATATCAGATCATTTTACACGCATCAAGATGCAACAGGAAATTCAAAATCCGCAAGGTTACCATCCAATGTATTTGTTAATGTGTAGTTTTAATTTTTGACCGGATCGTAATTAAAATTTAAATACCATTGTTAAAAGTCATCGGAGCACTTATGGGCACACAAAATGGTCGCGATGTTGAAATTTCAAATTCATATGAACTGGAATTTGATGTTATCGATGGGAAAGTGGTAGTAAACCACGAATACTTTTTGACAAAATCGGAACAGTGTAAGGCAGAAATTTTTGCAGAATGATTCTACGGTCGTGCACCAAACTAAACTTTGATCGATCTACCCATGCAAATTGATATCTAGTCAGCCAGGTTTTTCCGAAATTTGATTTCTTAGGCTGGTATACCATGGGTTCATTCCCAACCGAAGCAGATATCGAAATTCACAAACAGGTTAGCGGTCGCACGTAAGTTTTCATTATTGGAGAAGTTAATTAAATCCGCCGACTAAAAAAATGGTTGATGTTTGTACATAGATGATGGAATTTAATGAAAGTCCACTTTTCCTTCAAATGAATCCTTTCGAGATGGTCACTTCGAAAAATCTTCCCATCACCGTTTACGAATCGATAATTGACATTATCGATGGTCAAGCACACACGCTATTCATCAAATCACAGTATAAGATCGAGACTGGTGAGGCTGAACGCATTGCTGTCGATCACGTTGCCCACACGGTTCTCGGAGAGGGAGGAGAGGGATCTTCCCGTGAGTAGCCAACGGTGCTTGACTGACCCGCATCGGACTCTTTTGACTCAGTACTTGACTTTTCTCAACTCTTAGTTATAGCACATCTGACCACCCAGAGGAATGCAATTCAAATGCTGCACACCAGAATAAAGTTGCTCCATCAATACCTTGACCTGACTAATAGCAGTAAGTATTCATGGATTAAGAATTGGGTTGAAAATAATACGCGTCTATCATCCTAAACATTTCGTTCACATAGATCAAGCACCAGTTGACCATGACATTCTCCGTCAAATTGCCGGCCTTTGTAATCGTTTGCCCACTATCGACAGTTTAGATTTCAAACAAGAATTCCTCACGGTTTGACTTTCTTCTAATATCATTTACAGAGGACTTTTGTGATCGTGATTGTTGACACTTTTTTCTTGAACCCTTAGGAATATAATGACGTTCTATTAACGTCATATTTGGCGACAATAACCAAAGGAACAAATTCCATTAATGAGGTATCTTCCGACTTTTTCGTTTTTTCTTTGTTTTACGGTTTGGATGATGTCCTGTATTGAAGTAATCGTTTGTTATTACCAACCAGCTTGTGGACAAGTTCAATATCGCAACGAGTGCAAATAAACAAGGGGGACGTGGACGTCATCAACAACATCAGGGATTTCCAAATTTCTAGATGAATTAAATTCTTAATTAAAGTAATAAGTGTGTTACGACCTTTGTTATTATAGATGGGAACGCATTGAATATCTTGGAACGAAACGTTTAAAGAATCTAGTTAATGTTTCAATATATCATTATCTGAACAAATGAGGTTATGAGTTTGTTGAACGAAATATTAAAAGATTGCGTTACAAGATTATTGTGAGCGTTATAAGCAAATATCTAAATTGGATGTGCTCAAGAATTTCTTTGATCACATGATGATCACGTTTAATACATAATCCATAAAATTTACTGATCGTGGATAAATCAGGTTGCACTGAAAAAAATTTTCGAAACACTTTTCAAGTCGTTCTTTCGCGAAGGGCAAAAGGGAGTACATCACGTAAGGATCTTAATGATCTAGTTGTAAACATATCATCCATTTCAGAATGCTTTAGGGCTTGTATCATACATTAAATTTAGCTTAGAATTACACCTCCTATTACATGACCATTTTATCTATATAAAATGACCTACGAATGCATCTTTTTTTTTTTAAAAAAAAAAAAAAAAAGCCCTACAGATGCATTTTTTTTTTTTAATTAAATCTTATGGATAAACATCTCAAAGTCGTATTACTTTCTTTTTTTCAATGTAATTCAGTGAAGAAGTCAAAAAAAATAATTCTTTTTATCGTGAAATAAAAGAAAATGTCCGATGATGGAGGTGATGACATAGTCGGCGAATCGCCTGAAGCGGGAGCACCAGAAGAAATCCATGTGACATCAGATACCCCGGCTAAGGGTGCAATGGTACTGTAGGATGGAACGCATTATTTCATTGCGACCGCTTGGCCAAGAAATCTTGTTAATAATCCTGATTAATTTTAGACTATCGAAGAAGCATTGCAAGATGTCTTAAAGCGTGCCCTTGTCGTAGATGGTTTAGCACGCGGTTTGAGAGAATGCGCCAAGGCTTTGGATAGGTAAATCTCTGAATATTTTCAATTTCTTTCACCGATATCTTTATCGATCGAGTTATCTATCTGAAAAATAGACGCCAGGCCCACTTATGTGTTCTTGTCGAATCGTGCACGGAAAAAGAATACGTCAAACTTGTCGAGGCCTTGTGCGGTGAACACAACATTCAATTGATCAAGATCAGTGACGCAAAAAAATTGGGCGAGTGGGCTGGACTTTGTAAGATTGATCGCGAAGGTAAATCACGTAAGGTGGTTGCGTGCTCGTGCGTCGTCGTAAAAGACTATGGTGAGGATTCCGAAGCCAGGAACGTGTTGTTGGATTGTTTCAAATCACGTTAACATTGGTTTTAAGCCAAGCTAGGCTCATCCTTTCTTTCTTCCTTTATGCCAAAAACGTCTTTTTTTCTCATATTGTTTAAGTTGTTAAACGATTTTTTTTTCAATATTCAATAAATGGTTACAATCATATTTATCAGGCAATTTTATTAAATGAAGTTTTTAATGATTCAAGACAAAATTTGGAAATAAATTTAACTAGTAAAAAAAAATAAATTCCACATGCTCCTTTATTATTATAATTCACGATTACAATAAACTGACAAAGTGATTTATTATTATATTATGAATCTCTTTAAATATCGAAAGCTCTGTTCTTTATCCAAAGACTTTAGCAGTTTTAAATTCTATAGAGTGAATTTATATGAATACTGGAAAAATAAGGAATTGTCCATCTCGCATCACAACACCCACATCCACATCCACATACAGTGACTTTGTCCACTCCAACGACTTTGCTATCTAGGAAACGTATTGTTTTACCTCTTTTTAAATAAATAAATTCCACTACTAATAATATTCATTGAAATAATTGATTCCAGCAAAGTCACCTCTTACTAACCGATCCAGAATTATTTTCTTTCTTTAGAAAAATGTTCGTTTAGCTTACCTACGTGACTACCCTGCCTTGCCCACCAAACTGTAATTCTAATACCAAAAGAATCGCCAGTAGATTACAAACATGAAAACCGCGACCACAACTATTATGGGTCCATATTTGCGATAAAAAAGTTGCCAATTGAGGTCTCGCGCGGACTTTTTATATTTCTGCGATTCGTAGCGAAGTTGATCGGATAGAGAACTCATTTCTTTTCGGTGAAAATAAAAACACGAGAATTATCGTGCGAGAAATATGGGTTACTTTTTTAAATCGCTTATTTTCAGTTTCAGATAACATCTTGATGACTCACTTTCCAACCCTTCGCCACGCCACAAAACATTCTCCAGATTTTTGGTCATGATATTGGCTACCTCATTCAACTCGGTATTTAATCGATCGAGATTAGTTTGTGTTCGCGTATTCTGATACAACTTTTTGGTCTTTTGCATGAAGGTATCTGATCGTAAAGAAAAAGAAATTAATGTTTGTAGTTGAACACACAGAATTCGTGATGGTCAGGAATTTGACAAATCTCGTGTACCAAATTTGACAAATGCATATGGTCTCAAATTCGTCTTTTCAACCTCGTTCCCGTAACTCATCGAAAATTCCTTTGCAAGCTCTTCGAGGTAGCTGAACGCGAACTGGCGAGGGTACGACCGTTCGCAGATTGTCATGTAGCAAACGCCATTCTGGATCAGGTAACTGTAAAACGCTTAAATCAAAAAATGAATTCCAAAAAAAAAAGTGATATTCCAATCCCATAGAAAATCCGTACATACTGAAAGTAATAATTTCCGGACTCAATGGAACATCGTTCTTCGGAATTTTCGTTCATTTTTTTGAAGAGAAGTTTTGTCTTGTTTTTAATATCCACAAGTTCTGTCTCTCCGTTCTTGATTACGAAGATCAAAGTTATCGATATTATGTATCAATCATTTTTCCATACCCACCACGACGACCAACTTTCCTTCTCATCTATTAACGATACTTTACGAATTGACGATAGCGCGAAACATTTCCTACCTGATCGTCATCAACTGAGGCAGCCAACGGGAGACCTACGTGTGTTCTCAAATTTTAGTGCAAGAAACGAGAAATTTCGTGTGCTTTTTTTGATTCTGACTCACCATCGGAAATGCGGGCAATAACCGTATGTTTAACCATTTTCCACTACCAGTTAAAATTTCTTTGAATCCTTACGAAGAGAGAATGTTACTTGAGAGTTTGTGTGATCGTTTTCTTTTCCTCTGCGTTTTTGTTTTCAAAAACCTCTTGCACGAGATAGTTATATTGTGTAAGTTACACGATCGGCAAGCAAGTTTTGTCAAAAGATCATTCGCTACTAAATCTGACATACCAAAAAAAATTTTTCAATGAATCACGTGGTTTTTAGCGTTTATGTGAAATTGGAAATTATAAATACGGGGCGTGCCTTAAAAAAACTTCAATCTGCGATGCATTCATCATCCTTTTACATTTTTTATGAAAAATGACCTCAACATCTGATAAGACCCAAACGGTCACCGAATCCAACCTGCCAGAAGCGGAAGTCTATCAACCGGGTTTCCCAGAGGACGAAGCGCAGCGTACCGAACGCATTAGGAAATTGTTTGACGGATTCGATTACGAAAAGACCGGTTTCCTGACTCGGAAAAACATTCAGAGAGGACTCAAGAGGTTGAAGAACCATCCGGTCCGAGATAAGTATGCCTCAGAGCTATTGGAAAAGTGCGATACTTCGGCAGATGGTGTGGTAGACTTTAAAGAATTCAAAGCCTTCGTGGAAGAAAAAGAGAAAGAATTGTTGAAGCTGTTTTTACAAATTGACGGATCTCGAGACATGAGACTACAGCCTGAGGAATTAGAGGTTGCTTTAAAAAAAGCTGGTGGGGTAATTCGACTTGTTGCATAATAAAAACTTCTCTGAATACCTTAACAATACTAACCGTTCCCTGATCCTCAGGAATCAATTGCACGAAGGCTGATCTAGAAAAATTTATAAGAGTCATGGATGAGGACGGCAACGGTGTCATTGAGTTCTCAGAGTGGCGGGATTTTCTGCTGGTAAATTTAAGGAAAATTGATTTGATCTTTCGAATTCTTGCTTTTGGATTTCGAAAAAAAAAAAAAAACAAACAAACAAAAACAAAAACAAAACTAAACCACCAACAAAATGGAACGACAGTTGCTTCCCCGAGACACAACGATGTTTGAAATCTACGAGTATTATCAAATGGTCGGTCAGGTTAGCTTTGACGGTGAAGTCACGGTACCACCAACAGATCCAAAGTACCTTGCTGCTGGTGCAATCGCAGGTGCTGTCAGTCGAACGGCCACCGCACCACTGGATCGTCTTAAGGTTTACTTGCAAATTCAGACGGCAATTTCAAAGGGTGTCTCTAACACGAACGTAAAATTGCCTCGAAGTGAAGTCGTGATGGGTTCAAACAATTTGACGAATGCCATGAGAGAGATATATGCTGGAGGCGTCTTGAACTTTTTTCGTGGGAACGGACTCAATATCGCGAAAATCGCTCCCGAAAGCGCGATTAAGTTTTTCACTTACGAAAAGTCCAAGGCGATCATCGCGCATATGATGGGCGTACAAGACTCTGGCTCTATAGGATTGTCGGGAAGATTCTTGTCAGGAGGATTTGGCGGTATTGCATCCCAATTTGCCATATACCCTCTGGAGACTTTGAAAACGCGTATCATGAGCTCGGATCGGGGCTCATCATACTCACCGAAAGGAAAGGTTCTATGGAATACTGCATTGGAAATGTGGAGAGTACAAGGCTTCCGATCATTTTACAAAGGATTGGTGCCATCGTTGATAGGAGTGTTCCCATACGCGGCTGTGGACATGAGCATCTACGAGACACTAAAATTGGGATATCTAAAGCGAGTGAAAATGCAATTGAAAGGAGAAGATCCGATTGTACCAAATGCCTTGGTGTCTTTGAGTTGTGGTATGGTTTCGGGTTCTGTTGGTGCAATCATTGTTTACCCACTGTCCCTTGTACGAACGCGGTACGTAGCCGTCACATGAGAGAACGCTTCCTTGTCATAACCCTTGAATTTTGATTTCGTGCGCAATTTGTTCATCCCCCTCAGGTTGCAAGCACAGGGAACCTCCGGGCATCCACAAAAATACTCCGGAGCATTTGACGTCATTCGTAAAACTTATGCAGAGGATCGGGTGCGTGGTTTCTATAAGGGACTGGTTCCAGCAATGACGAAGGTAACCTATGACGTCAAATTGTGCCGTGCATAGTTCAGATACCTTATTAATTTAACGTGTTGTGTTAGGTTGTACCGGCTGCGGCCATCTCCTACGTGGTTTATGACAAGTGTAAATCGATATTGTCCCTGCAATGATTATTATTAATTTGTACATATTTATTTAGTGATTGACTAAAAAAAAAAAAAAAAAAATGAAAATGAGGTTGGTTTAATTCAATTCTTTTTTTCCTTTTAAAAAAAAAAAACTAATAATAACATTCTAAAACGATTTAGAATTTATCAAAACCATTTTTATCCTTATCCTGTAATACTATTATTTTCATACGCATTCCCAAATTTTCATCATAAAATAAGTGTACAAGATTTTGAACATTTTAATACCAAAAAATTTGGCAATATAGAATCTATGGTAGAGCTTACTAATAAATTATTGTATACAATCCCTCGCATGAATTCGGGATCAAAGAATACGTCGAAGAATTTTTTTTTTTATTCATTGTCCGCACAATTAAATACATTTTATTATTGACATACGGGAGACATGTGTAAATGCCAAATTCGATGGTTTTTTTTTTTAAAAAAAAATAAATATATATATATTTACACTTGTCATTAAGTGGATGATTTTTATTAAATATTCAACTTGGCAGCTGCCTCATCATCCAGAAACCAATACACTTTTCCGTGAATAGGTTTAACCAATTGTGCAGGCAGATTTCCTTTTTCGTTTAACACTTCGACCAATGTATCTTGTTTTCCGGCCCCGGTTGCAACAAAGGCTACGGTGTGAGCGTGATTGACCACCGGCAAAGTCAAGGTAATCCTTCTACGCGGTAGCTTTGGTGAATCCATAATGTAAGCAACCCACGTGACGTCCTCCTCCAACAAGGGATGTCTGGGGAATAATGAGCAGATGTGTCCGTCGGGCCCAATGCCTAACAGTAATAAATCAAATACAGGAAATTTTACCGATTTCGCACACGCAAACACCTTGATGAGTTGATTCTCATAATCATCCACCATGTTCTGCGCGACTTCCGCAGCCTTCTCGGTATCCACTTTTTCAATTTTTGACACCAATTCACCATTGATGGTGTGAATCCTCTCGGGTGGAATTGGTACATGATCAAATAGTTCGTTTTTACACAAGAGATAGTTGGAGTCATTATGGTCCAATGGGACAATTCTTGAAGGGAAGATAAATTTCCAAGTTTTGGTTAAAAATAACTTTTCTCACGTGTAAGAATGAGCTTTACCTCTCATCACAGAAGAACACCTCCCACTTTTCCCACGTGATGTCTTTTCTATTCTTTAGGTCCGCCGCTAGAATTTTGGGAAGAGATCCACCGGAGAGGCCAATGGTGAATCTATCAAGTGTTTCAATGGCCTTCTTGGATTTCTCGACAACCAGGTCCGCAAGTGAAATCGAAAGCTCTCCGGTGGTTGGTTTGGTAATAATGTGGGGAGCCATATTTTTTATCTTTAAAATACGCGGCTTACTCTTTGTACGTGCAGCAAAATTTAAGTTGTTACGCCGTTATGTGTGGTATGTATGCGCAGATAGTTATGCAGGGATCGAATGTACCCAATCAGGTCACTCCAGCTAAGTAGATATTTTAAGATGTGCGTTTCTCGTGGTTGTAAAAAATAATGCACACTAATGTATTCTTTCTTGTATATACATCAATCGTAATATAGTTAACGCGTTCTTCAGTAAATATTCACATACCAAATCACTACAAATAAAGCATGGTTCGCATAAACAATTTAGCTAAGAGAAGGAGGTTCTTGAGCCTTCGTGTTTTAGTCTTTACTCTAGTGCTTTACCTTACAATTTGTTTCGGCGTCTCACCTTCCGAGTCGACAAACATCGCAGAGAGTAGCGAACAGATTCCTTCGTTAGGATGCGAATACTTGGCCAACTTGATAAAAACGGGAAAACACCCCTCAATAGACAGTAGTGGTGATCCATCTCAATGTCCTTATCTTTCCAATAAACCACAAGACCACCATGAACATGTCGAATATCATAGGAGACAAGTGTCGGATTTATGCCCTTACATTCGGGAGCTTAGCAAACAAAAGAAGGAGAGATTAAGTTTGGAAAGTAGCCTGACGAAACAAATCTTTGCTTTCCTTTTTCCAGGAAGTCCACGCGTAAATTCTTTGTTGGGCACTTTATACATTTCATCCATACCCAATTTCATTCTCTATTTTGTCCCTCCTGACATTGAACCTTCCTCACTAAATTCTTTGGTTAGTTTTGCTGTGGGTGGTCTGCTGGGCGATGTCTTCCTACACCTCCTCCCGCAATCGCTCTTAGGTGAGCATGATGATGACGAAGTTCATTTCGTTCAAGTTAACGAGAAAAAGAACGTGGTCATCGGTCTGGCCATATTTTTCGGTTTAATGACGTTCTTTGTAATTGACAAGCTGATGCGCATAGCGAATGGCGGCGAGGACGTTCATTCACACTCGCATAGTCACGCGCATGATGACCATCATCATGGTCATAGTGACCTTGGTTCCAGCACAGCAACCCCAGATTCTGATTCAGCGACACTTCGTCAAAGAAAATCTGTTGGCAAAAAGGAGGATGAGGACATTAAATCCTCAGGAAAAACGCCATCTCCCAGCATCAAGCTTTCGGCCTATCTCAACCTCATTGCTGATGCCACGCATAATTTTACCGATGGACTCGCCATGGCCGCATCATTTTATACATCACCAAGCATAGGTGCAACCACAACTGTGGCGGTGTTCTTCCACGAAATTCCTCATGAGGTTGGTGACTACGCAATTCTGATTCAAAGTGGCTTCACCAAGAAACGTGCCATGCTTTCGCAATTTGTCACGGCGATCGGCGCATTTCTTGGCACTTTGACGGGGATAGCGATTGAAGAGCTCGGCCGCGGTGTGAACGGATCATCGTCACATGACCATCACGATGCCGGAATTTGGGGTACCGGAGTCGTCTTAGGTGATTTGGTCATACCATTCACAGCCGGTGGATTTTTGTACATCGCAACTGTGGGTGTAATACCTGAATTGTTGGAGGTGACGGGTAGGTTTACTAAGGATATTAGGCAAGCGGCCACGGAGTTTATAGCAATGCTCATTGGTGTTGGTATGATGGCCGTGATCGCTTGGAATGAAGGTGACTAGTGGGGCTTCATTTGTATTTGCGCACATAGTTTGTGATAGAGACGTATGAGAATGTCTATAGAGTTGGATTTTTTTATACGTCACGCGATTTAACTTATATACAGTTTCGGTTTGTTTGATGCAAACCGTAAAAAATGGTTTTATTGTAAATGTCGTATAGCAAATGGTCATAATAAACTAGTGGAGTATTTCGCTTGTCATATTATTCACTTCCCACAACATCAACTTTTTTCTCGGTAAACATCACATCTTTGAATTCCAAGAATGTCACATTCGCGCCACTAACAATCGAAAACAATATGCTGCTACTATCACCACCATTCTTATCACCTTCTTTAAATAGTCTGTCTAACATTCCCAAGGATGGTGGACGTTGCGCGTCGGCGCTATATATGTAACGAAAGAATCAAAAAATTTGTCGAAGAGAATCATTATTAACGATCTCACGCACCTGGCAACCACTACCCGAAACAAAGGTTCACCAGGGTGTTTCTTTTTGAACTTGCGATTTTGCGTTTTCTTGTATACGTAAAAGTCCACTTTGTAATCGTCTACGTCACCCAGATTGTAAGCAGAGATTGATTCTGGGTCGGTGTCATTTGATCTTTGAATTATTTGTAATTTTTTAAATACTTGATCTTTTATCGTGCCACGAAGGCCATGAGTAAATGTTAGAGAGAATGATTGAATCAAAAGAACAAAAGATGCGATACAAACCATATGTGTAGCATGATCCCGGTTTAACCATGGGTTCGATTGATGGGGTCAGAGGAGAGGAAAAAATCTTTGAAAAGAAATTTCGGGTAATATAGGTCAAAGGCGATAATAACGGATAAACAAGATGACCCAGGTACCGCGACATGGATAAATTTTTTATTATGCTTGTGTCTTCCGAGTCACTTTTAAACTCTCAAAAAATCGTATGAAAGACCATGTTAATAAAATATTCGAATATCTGATGAAGAATGATGTGCATCATTCAAACCTCGCGATGAAGATGATGGTGGTGGTCTCGTGACCGTATATCCTATTCTCTTAAGATACGCATACACCTGAACCCCAAGACGTTGAAAATGAAGAGCAAAAATAATTATTTAAATCTCCCTCAATCGAAGACACAATCGCATGTCACAAACCTGATATTTCTCAAGCGTCAACCTACTTTCGCGCATCATCAGCATATAAGCCTGTTGAATTGACACGGGCACACCCTCAAAATCAGCGGTCAATGCTCCGCGTTCCAATAAGAACAAAGCTTCCTCTGGATACAACCAATGTTCGCCGTTGATCGAATGACCCATGTTGTGAAAATGATTTCCACGGATGACGGTGACCAAGACCTTGTTGACAGGTGAATCGCACCACATCCCTTTACATATATTGCGGCTATCAAAATGCCAATTTGTGTTATATCACGTGAAAGTCGTATCCTGACGTCATGTGAATTGTGAAATAGTAACCTTGACGTGCTTCTTTCTTCCTCTAAAGCTCTTTTCAGCTCCTGCAAAGATTCCTTGAGCAGATCTTCTTGCCCTTGATCTAACTCGACTTTCTCATTTTTTTTTACTCCGCCACGCTTCAATGATTTCCCACCGACGCCTTTTCTTTTTAACATAATTACGAGAATTTGAGAAATTACTGCGATCCAAATAAAACTCACCGTTCACAACATTTAAGATCATCGAGAGAAATGGATGTACATTTGATTCGTACCTGTCCTTCGCGAAAAATGTTAAAATATCATCAATCTGTTCTTCTCGATTATCCTCCTCGTCAACAACATCGGTGTCGGTAAATTCATCATTCTTCTCGGTATTATCTTCGGTTATCGGTAAATCCGATTGCGCCATTTTTTTTTTTTTTTTTTTTAATCAAAGATCATATGATATACAAAAACTTTGAAGAAACTTAATTTTGTTCTTTAAAGTTCTACCAAATTCTCGTATCTAAAACGTTTATTTTATACGTACACGAGTTTGGTAGCCCGTTATAGAATTAGATCTTCGATCGATCTATGAAAAAATTTTTGTGATTAAAAAAATTTTGATCGCATATACATATATATGTACACGATACCTAAAATTTTTACGAATCCTTTTGCGACCAAACTCCTTTAAAAAAAGATCAAAAGGCACAATATCATTAATGTCCGGTTTAACAAAGTTTGTCCGTTCTACGTCTATTGTGTCAAGAGCGTGGAAGTCCGCGGTATGTAATTCATAGTTTATTACGTCACGAGAATATTCTAAAAAAAATCATTCCATAATAGCGACCAACCGCTGGAACCTTAATAAGTCACAATCGACTATACGGTACCAATGTCGGTGGACCAGTAATAGGCATAGATTTGGGCACGACCAATTCCTGTGTTGCCATCATGGAAGGGAAAGCTGGAAAGGTTATTGAAAATGCAGAAGGTGCAAGAACGACTCCATCAATAGTTGCAATAACGAAGGATAATGAGTTATTGGTTGGTCAGGCAGCTAAACGTCAGGTACTCTTTACTATCACTCTTACACATGTATACGACGTTTTACATCATATATATGTAAACCTTTGATGCCGAACCTTTTGATGAAATCTAGGCTGTGGTAAATCCTGAGAACACAGTTTTCGCTACCAAAAGATTGATAGGCCGTTCGTTTGATGATCCGATTGTTAAACACGATGCCAATTCGGTTCCATATAAAATCGTTCGGCATTCTAACGGAGACGCTTGGGTACATATTATGGGAAAAAATTACTCACCGTCGCAAGTGGGTGCCTTCATCTTGACCAAAATGAAGGAGACCGCGGAGGGATATCTAGGAAAAAAGGTTCATCATGCCGTGATTACCGTACCTGCCTACTTTAACGATGCTCAACGTCAGGCGACTAAAGATGCCGGAAAAATTGCTGGACTTGAAGTACTCAGAGTCATTAATGAACCAACTGCTGCTGCACTTGCTTACGGACTAGACAAAAGTGGCGACAAGGTGGTGGCAGTATATGATCTTGGTGGTGGTACCTTCGATATCTCTATACTTGAGATACAGAACGGTGTGTTCGAGGTGAAGAGCACAAACGGTGATACCGCCCTTGGTGGCGAGGATTTTGATGCGACTTTGGTAAAATTCATCGTCGAAGAATTCAAGAAAGAACAATTGATCGATCTAACTGGTGATCGTATGGCCATACAACGTATCCGTGAAGCCGCTGAAAAAGCAAAAATCGAACTCTCCTCAACTGTGCAAACCGACATTAACTTACCATATATTACAGCCGACGCGTCCGGACCAAAACACATAAACATCAAATTGACCAGGTCCAAGTTTGAAGCTTTAACTAAGGACTTGGTCGAGAGAACAATTGAACCTTGCAAGAAAGCAATCTTGGATTCTCAAGTTAAACCCTCTAACATTAACGAAGTGATTCTGGTTGGTGGTATGACCAGGATGCCAAAGGTATATGAGACGGTAAAATCATTATTTGGCAAGGAACCAAGTAAAAGCGTGAATCCCGATGAGGCTGTAGCTCTTGGTGCTGCAATCCAAGGAGGTGTACTCTCTGGGAGTGTTACGGACATTTTATTGTTAGACGTGACTCCCCTTTCTCTCGGTATTGAAACCCTTGGAGGTGTCTTTTCTAGGTTAATAAACCGTAATACGACCATTCCAACTAAAAAGTCCCAAGTCTTTTCTACCGCCTCAGATGGTCAAAGTGGAGGTATGTAAATTTTCCTTATTTACCAAATATCTCATCAAACAATATGGTACTGATCGATAACAACATTAACCTAATTAATTAATTATTATGTTTTCTAAAAAGTGGATGTACGCGTTTATCAGGGAGAACGTGAGTTCTGTCGTGATAACAAACTTTTAGGAAACTTCAGATTAGACGGTATTCCACCTGCACCCAAGGGTGTTCCACAGATCGAAGTTACATTTGACATTGACGCCGATGGTATTGTGAACGTGTCAGCAAAAGATAAAGCCACGAATCGAGATCAATCAATCACAATCACTGCTTCCTCGGGTCTCTCATCCTCCGAAATAGAAAACATGGTAGCTGATGCCGAAAGGTATGCTGAGAGTGATCAAAAACGTAAGGCTGTGATTGAGGCCAAGAATCATGCGGACAGCGTCATACATGAGACCTTGAAGCACTTGGATGAATACAAGGATTCAATTTCGGAAGAAGAATCAAAGAAAATTAAAGATCAAATCCAAGTGTTGCAAGACACCATTTCTAAAAATGAAGATTCCGTGGATGCCGAAAACATAAAGAAGGAAATACACGAGCTGCAACAGAGTAGCTTGAAGTTATTCGAGATGGTTTATAAGAAATCGCAAGCGAATAATGAACAATCATCAAAACCTTCGTCAACGTCTTCGGAAGGTGAAGAATCTAGCACATCATCATCTACGTCATCTGGTTCCTCGTGATCTTAATTCGGTGATCACATGATAGACGGCTTTACCAAGTACATTATTTCTATTGACAAAACGTCCCTAATTCTACAAGGCTTGTTTGCTTTCTCCAAGTAGAGGATTCGTGAATTGTTTGACTTATGTTCATATGTTTTTCATCGATTGGATAATCGACGACTCGATTGTAAAGATTGTAAAAAAACCAACCGAAAATTTAAGCCTTCAATCATTAGGCACTATTTAAAAATAACTTGTCTTAATGGAAAAATATTTAGAAACTCGCAATGTCATAACAGGTCTTTTCCTCTTTAGTCTTTGATTTTCATCTCAACGTTTACCCCAAAATTATAATAAATGGTGGGTTTTAAAATCTTATTAAAGTTATCAAAAATTCAATGAAAATCCGACAATTGTGAACATACAATAAAAATTTTCAGCGGTTTAAAATAGTGATGTGAACTCTTATATAAATGCAAAATAATCATCATAAACAATCATGAAATTACAAAAATCATCACAAACTTTATTGATATAAAAAATGTAAAATTTAAACTATATTAGAAATACAAATAAATATTTGGTTTATTTTTTTCTATAAAATATATATTGTATTAATACTTGTTATAATAAAAAAAATATTATTTAATCAAATATTTATAAGCAATATATTAAATTAAATAATAAATTTTAAATTTTAAAAATATTTATTAGCAAAATAATTTTTTCAATTAAATTAAAACTAACTATAAAAAAGAAGTTAATGCTTAAAAAATTGAAAATAAATTATTTGATATATACAGTATTTTAAAAAATTAAATATCTGATTAATTTAAATAATAAAAGAAATTAACAAGAATAATAAACCAAGCATAAAAAAAATAAATAATGAAAATAATATTATTTATTTATTATTAATTTTGTTTTTAGAAAATATTTATGATTTGTAATTATAATTAAGACACTTACTGATCTTAGAGTGTGATCGCCAATATGGTATATACTATATATGGTATATTCCCTGATTGATGCCTATTTGCAAAATTACCGTGCAACAGTAAGAAATTGACATAGGTATTAACAAATATTGATCGATAGATTTAGATACAACTTCACGCTACTAAACTTTATCAGAATCGAACCAGTACTATCATAAATCTGTCAAGATGAGTGATTCAGAAAGAACATATATTATCGGCTATTGTTATCAGAATGGAATTGGAGTTAAAAAGGATGAACATAAGGCATTCGAATATTTTCAAAAATCAGCCGAAATGGGTAATGTATTAGGGACATATAGTGTTGGCCATTGTTATCAAAATGGAATTGGAGTCGATAAGGATGAATACAAGGCATTTGAATATTATCAAAAATCAGCAGAGATGGGCTATGTAGATGGAATACATAATGTTGGCGTTTTTTATGAAAAAGGAATTGGAGTTGAAAAGGATGAAAGTAAGGCATTCGAGTATTATCAAAAACTAGCAGAAATAGGTGATTCTTCGGGAATTTATAATATTGGCAATTGTTATTATAAAGGAATTGGAGTTGAAAAGGATGAACATAAGGCATTCGAATATTATCAAAAGTCAGCCGAGATGGGTAATGCATCGGGGACACATGATGTTGGATATTGTTATCAAAATGGAATTGGAGTCGAAAAGGATGAACATAATGCATTCGAATATTATCAAAAGTCAGCCGAGATGGGTAATGCATTGGGGATACATAATGTTGGCTATTGTTATCTTAATGGAATTGGAGTCGAAAAGGATGGATACAAGGCATTCGAGTATTATCAAAAATTAGCAGAGATAGGTGATGCTTCGGGAATTTATAATATTGGCTATTGTTATCTTAATGGAATTGGAGTCGAAAAGGATGGATACAAGGCATTTGAATATTATCAAAAATCAGCTGAGATGGGTCACGTAGATGGAACATTTAATGCTGGCGTTTGTTATCGCTATGGAATTGGAGTTGAAAAGGATGAATACAAGGCATTCGAATATTATCAAAAATCAGCAGAAATGGGTTATGTAAATGGAATATATAATGTTGGTCATTGTTATCATAATGGAATTGGAGTTAAAAAGGATGAACATAAGGCATTTCAATATTATCAAACATCAGCTGAGATGGGTGATGCATTGGGGACACATAATGTTGGCGTTTGTTATTATGAAGGAATTGGAGTTAAAAAGGATGAATATAAGGCATTCGAATATTATCAAAAATCATCTGAGATGAATTTTGCATTGGGAACAAATAATGTTGGCTATTGTTATCAAAATGGAATTGGAGTTGAAAAAGATGAACATAGGGCATTTGAACATTACCGAAAATCAGCAGAGATGGGTGATGCTAAGGGAACATATAATGTTGGCTATTGTTATCGTAATGGAATTGGAGTTGAAAAGGATGAACATAAGGCATTCGAATATTATCAAAAATCAGTCGAAATGGGTAATGTATTAGGAATATATAATGTTGGCCATTGTTATCGTAATGGAATTGGAGTTGAAAAGGATGAACACAAAGCATTCGAATATTATCAAAAATCAGCCGAGATGAGTAGTGCATCGGGGACACATGATGTTGGATATTGTTATCAAAATGGAATTGGAATCGATAAGGATGAATACAAGGCATTCGAGTATTATCAAAAATCAGCTGAGATGGGTAATGCATCGGGAACACATAATGTTGGCATTTGTTATGAAAAAGGAATTGGAGTTAAAAAGGATGAATATAAGGCATTCGAATATTATCAAAAATCAGCAGAGATGGGTCATGTAGATGGAACATGTTATGTTGGCGTTTGTTATTATGAAGGAATTGGAGTTGAAAAGGATGAACATAAAGCATTCGAATATTATCAAAAATCAGCCGAGATGGGTAATGCATTGGGAGTATTTAATGTTGGCTTTTTTTATGAAAAAGGAATTGGAGTTGAAAAGGATGTATATAAGGCATTCGAACATTATCAAAAATCAGCCGAGATGGGTGATGCGTCGGGAACATATAATGTTGGATGTTGTTATTATTATGGAGTTGGGGTTGAAAAGGATGAACACAAGGCATTTGAATATTATCAAAATTCAGCCGAGATGGGTGAAGCGAATGGAATGTTTATGGTTGCTGGATTTTATAGAAACGGAACAGTAGTTACGAGAAACTTACAACTGGCTACGCATTGGTATCAAATGTAAGTAAATTATTTAAATTATTCTTATATTTACCATAAGTTAACAACAATGTGTAAACAATTAGGGAAAGAAATCGATTATTAGGTAAGTAAAAGGACATTATTATGCTATTATCCATCTTAATCTAATAGTATATCCATTTAGATTCGAATGAATCAACAACATTTGAAAACTCTGATATTGACAATGAACTTAAAAAAATGCTTTCCGAAAGCAAATATTCGTTATTTTGGATTCCTTACAGTGAATTTAAAAACATTGAGAAGATAGGACAAGGAGGATTTGCAACTGTGTTTGGTGCCTATTGGCGTTCTAGAGGTGTTGCGCTTAAATTACTTCACGGATCAAGAGATAATCACAGGGAGTTTATAAAAGAGGTATCTTTATTTCAAATATTAGACATTATACAATTTTAACTTTCCTTAACCTTTTTCTCACATTAAAGTTAAAAGCATATTGTGATATTGGATTTAAAAACGACACATTTTTAAAATGCTACGGAATATCTAGAGACGAAATCTCTAAAGATTTTATTATTGTTACTAAATATGCGACAATGGGTTCTTTGCGTGATAACCTTCATTCAATCGCACAAATATCGTGGAAAGATAAGTTAAAATTGTTAATTAGTATTGCTTCTGATCTTGAAATAATTCATTCACAAAATCTTATTCACCGAGATTTACATAGTGGTAATATACTACTAGAAGAATTATATAGTGCATATATTGCAGATTTAGGTCTTTCGATGTTGACCAATACAGAATCTGAAGGAATTTTTGGGATTTTACCATACATAGTACCCGAACTTTTTTGTGGCAATCCATATACATTATCATCTGATATATACTCGTTTGGGATAATTATGTGGGAAGTTTCTTCCGGAAAAGCTATTTCTTTTAACCGCGAATTTACAGGCCAATTTCAAATTCAAGTATGCGATGGCCTTCGACCAACTATTATTGAAGGCACACCACAATGTTATATAGATCTTATGAAAAGATGTTGGGATGGAAATCCGAAGAATCGTCCACTTGCCGAGGAAATTCTCAGAGCTTTTACTGAATGGCAAAGTGATGAAAATTTTATAAAGGAATCAATCAAGCTTGATGAAACATTGGAATATAAGGAAAATTCGCACGTGCAAACATACACTGGAACAACTTATACAAGTGAATTCATTCCTTACATTTATAAACGAATGTTAGATAACTCACTTTAAAAAACAAATAATAAATTTAAATTAATTTAAACATACAGTGCACTCAATAATGCTAAATTACTTAAAATTAAGAAATAAGTATAAGTATATTTGATACACAAAAAACCAATTATTAATAAAATAAATTTTAACATATAGCTATCTTTGATTAATTTTAGTATAGTGAATTATACCTATAATGACAAAAATCATTAAATTTAATAGCAAATATTTATTTAATTTATTCAAAGATTAATTATTGTCTATTTTATAATTATGATTTTTTTTATAATTATAATTTTTTTTATAATTATAAAATAATATATTTTATGCTTGTAATATTTTCCAATATAAACAAAAGAAATTCTTCCGACCTGTTTTGCTGTCTAAATTTTGATTATAAATGTTGAATTGTTAAGATAAGTCATTTTTAAAAACATTACTTGTGTTAATTGCAAGTTCTACTTTTTTTTTAAAAGAAAAAAAATTATTATTTATTAACACCGGTAAATAAAAATAATTTTCATCCATAAAACAGGTGCCCTATTTTTCAACAGTGGTATGTTACTTTGAAAAAAAATTATATATGGGCAAAATGCTAATACCCACCTTTTAAGACAAAAGAATGATATATTCAATATGTTTTATGCTGTCTTTTTTCATTCGAGCAGAACAGAAGTTACGTAATTAGTGCACAGGGCCTGCTTCACAGCAATTCCATTACTCAGCAATTCCAAATTTCGTTTACATAATAAAGTTATTTATTCCAGAAGTTTAATTAATATATTTTGCCTTTTTGCATAAATTCAAACTCATTATATTCTACAGATGAACAGTGATAAATATTTTCCTTATAGCCTTTTTTGGACATTTTGTGCTTTTCTTATTGCGGAAACATATAATTCAAATGCAATACGTCTAAGTTCTCCAGAATACTATAAAGAACTGATGGTACGTTTTCCTATTTCACGAATGTTCGGACCTGCGCAACCGGTAGGGTTATTACTATTAAATTGTAGAGTGCCGAAATTCCACTATAATATTGTGAAAATTATACCTTAATCCTTAAACATTCAACCATAAGAAATACTGAAAGTAGATAAATCTTATCTCTTGGACAGATACTCCTGCTATTCCTGAAACTAGATTAATAAAATCTTTTGCAATATTATATAATTAAAGTCATGTGTTATCGTAAAAATGATCAAATTTTATTTTTCCGATCAATCACCGAATATGTCTTACGGATAAATCGTGCTGGCACGAAAGAATAAATCAGAGGGTTTTTCCTTGCAAAAACCGTCACGATCAGAATCACATGATTTTAATAAACTTTCGCATCTTGTATAAACAATACCAGAAACTCAATTAAAAATCAATTCGTTGCAAGAATTAAATTCTCAACTTGTTGCCAAGATTGCTGAGCTTAGAAAGAGATCAAAGCCGAGAATACAAAGAAGAAATCGAGATCAGGTTGTAAAACCAGAGCAGAAGAATAAAAAAAGTCCATTCTTATTACTAAATTGCAACATCATGTCTCATTAATTAAGGAACAGAGCATGCAAGATAAAGACATTTCCCAATTTTTGGTAAATTCTGACGATATCTGATAATACTTCAAATTCCGATGTATCTGGTAATGTTTCAAATTCTAATGTATATCAAGATTCTTCGCATATTCACATAGTGCCTAAATTATTGGAAGACAAGGAGATGGATGATTTCCTAGATTCAACATATAAAGAAAAGGCTAGTGAAAAATAATTCAAGTCTCATATCAATATAACTATGAATGATTTTCACACGAAGACCTCAATCCAGAAAGATTTTATACAAGAATTGTATTTAGAATCTGTCTCAGAGGATCAATCGGTGTTATTAGTAGAAGTAAAGAGCCGGATACACCGACTCATCTGAAAATGATAAGCATGTAGCTATCGAATTAGCTTGTTTGTATCAAAAAGCCAAAAGAATACTGTACATTCTAAAGAAGAGATTTTAAGTTGGTATTATTATGCGAAAGCTTTCGAAAAGAGGGTTGATTATACCTTATCTATTTGCCGAAATAATAAAAGTGCAGACGACTTGGCAAGAATTCAAGTTTATGATAAAATCTGAAATTGTCTTTCTGGCATCTCACATGAAAATTTTCACAAGCAAACTCTAAGAGCTTATAAGATTTATAAATATTTAACAACATAGGAATAGAAAAAATTAAATGGATTAAATCAAAACTTACTAATCTTCAAATTCAACATATTATAAATTATTTTGCCAATAAAAATATTACAATGGAATGTCAACCGTGCGATCCTGGGTCTCACCTTTATATAACTAAATCTTTTAATTCAAATGATTTATCAGAAACTGAGATACATGTACTGTATGAAAGATTATATCTCAAACCATGCAATTACTTTTTATTGGAAAAAAAGTATAAAAAAAGAGGTCTTATTTCAAATTATATACAGTAATTGCTTTTATTAAAGAAAAAATAAAAAAAAAGATTCTATCTCAAACTACACAATTGTTTTTTATTAAAAAAAGAGCAAACACAAATTATCCAAACCTTATAAATAAGGTCTTATATATAGTATATATTTTTGAAACTACTTGAATACAGAAAGATAAGTATTAGTATATAGCCAAATGATCTTTATGCTTTAAAATTAACTATATATTATAAATTATTATAGGTGATTCAAAAAAAAATACAATGTATTAATAATATATAATATATACAATATATATTTTTTTTCCCAATGCCAACTCAAGATCCATCGTATCACCTTTGTAGCCTCCTGTTGTTTCTCCGGGGTGCGTTTTGACGGTCATGGATAATTGATCCTAAATACTCGTCTCAGGCCTAAGCCTCTAAGTATAGACATGAAAGTGAATAAGTTACTATATCAAGGCAAGCAATCCATGCTAAAATGCTTGATACTAAAGCCTGCAGCCACCACTACAATATTTCAACTATTCAATTTAGCCAAGACTTACTAGGATTTTAGTCAGTAAGATATCATTGGCGGGATAAGGGTACACCAGTACACCAAATTCATCTGGGAATCAAACCCAGCCTTACCCTTCCTAATCTAGCCTAGCAACACATGTGGGGGGTTACATTTTATAGGGTCATGCAATCAACCATTGCAAATGTACTCCTTAGAATAGAATATCCCATGATATAAACAACCTCCTACACCCCTGACTGGATCCTTGCTACCATTGGACATGTGAAACTCTTACTGATAGTTGTACAACTATTTTTAGCCATCTATACCTTTCTTTCCACTACCGGAAAGATTCCATGAAACTTCTTCCCCCTTTTTGGAGGTATTTCCCAGGCAATACTTGATCAGAAAGTTTACCAATCAGATCATCTATCTTTTCGACCAATGGGGTGTAGTCTACCCATAAGGCTCCTTGATCACCAGAACAATCCAAATCGCTCTTTATCACGAGTTACAGGGGCAGTGACACAAAGTCCCTTTTTTGGGATATGTGAATTGTCTCCTAGCTGAAATTAAACTGTGGGTCATAGGTTAGCCCTACCCTGCCTTAGCCCATTGGACTATGACTGGATAGGTCATGTCATCAAGAATATTTAACTTCGGAAATATTATATAATAATTATGAAAAAAGAATACCCTTCTAATAATATATTTTCGGTATGTATTAATAGTAGTTAATAGATATAGTCTTTTATAGAAATATATATAATAATTATGACAAAAGACTATAATAAAAACATATATACTAAGAGATGAATAACATCAGATTTATTTATAGTAAAAAATGAAGTTATATATCCACTCTTTTACATATATACTCAAAGCTAACTGAGATAAAATAAAATAATATTCTTTAATTAACATAAGCAAAATCGAATGATAACATTTCCAGATAATATTTGTGATATGTATATTTTGCTATAGTCTTCTGCAAAAATATATTATATAAAATATGGCAGAAGACTACATTGATAATATACTTGATAGTATATGTATAGCATATTCAATAACAAGAATATAACATAATCGATAGTGTGTATATAGCATATCTGATAGTATATACATGATGGTATTATCGAGAGCATTTATATGATATACTCTATTGCTTTGCAAATGGCTCTTTGAGTTTATAAAATAAAATGCTTTGCATCTAGCAAATATATTTGATAGCATTAATCGATAGCATAATCAGATATTGTGTATATGATATAACCAGATAGCATGTATATAATATATATGATAACAATTAAATAGCATTTTTGATAGCAATATGCAATATATATTAATGGCATTCCCCAATAACATTTGTGATGTATGTATCAATAATAATTGTATATTTATGTTTGATAGTATATTTGATAACATTAGCCCTCACAATAACGATATATAATTGGTTGCATTGTCAGATATATATTTTTTTGCCTATGTAAGCCAACTGGTTACAACTACTAAGCTGATATATATTATTGTTATATCGCATATAATCTGATATACAAAATTTATCACCTTGGTGCATGTTATAAAAAATAAAACACACAATACTGGAGTGTGGCCTAAAAAACAAAACACATTATTCAAGTGTGATCTAAAAAATAAAATATATATAAGTAAACTATAAACATATTGAATATGTAGTCATTTTTTTTGAGATTAATCATATACCAATATGACTAAAATTATGAGATCGATCATATACTAATGTGGTCAAAATTATGAGATTGACCACTTTCAAGTATGGCCAGAATTATAAGGTCGACTACTTTCCAATGTAATCAAAATTATGAGATTGGCTACCTTTGAATATGGCCAGAATTATAAGATCAACCACTTTTGAATATGGCCAAAATTATGAGATCAACCACCTTTGAATATGGCCAGAATTATAAGATCGACCACATTCGAATGTGGCCAAAATTATGAGATCAACCACTTTTGAATGTGGCCAGAATTACAATTTAGACCCCATAATATAGTTATAATTTACACTAAGTGGTATATTTGTAATCTGTACAGATTACAAATATACCACTCCAAACTTTATAATTTTTATTTCAAATATATTATTAATTAAATTTTATCTATACTTTATTTTATTACATTTATAATATACTGTATATTGTTAAGAGTAAAAGTTAAGTTGATTAGGTTGCAAAATACAATTTTTCATATATAATTTCTAATTATAGCATTAATTACCAATGATTTTAATATATACAAAGTTTAAAAATAGAGTTATAATAATTATAAAATCTAAAATTGTCTGTAACAATGAATCATAGGTATGATATTACAATAGAAAAAAGAGGAGGTAATAAATAAATAAGATTAAAAAAAAATAATAAAAATAATAAAAATAATAGTAATTGAAACAAGAAATAAGAAGAAAAAAGAAGTAGAGATAGTAATGATAAAAAATTAAAGAAAAATTATTCTAAATTAAAATCTTTCTTTTAAAGTTATATAATAAATATTTTTCAAAAAAGAAAAAACTAATTTAAATTTTTACTTGATTCAAGTACTTGCTATAAGAGAGAAAAGATAACAAAGATCCTGAGAAAAGAAATCAAAGGATTTGAAAAATGTGAGCAACAAAAAGAAAAAACAAAGAAGAATTAGAAAGAATACTATTGGTCAAATCAATAATATATATCTTAAAGAAAGAAATACTTATCTTATTCTGACATAATACAAATCTGTCAGTAGAAACAATAAACTCACTGAAAATCATATTAACAATATTAATGTTTTTTATTTATATTACAATATAATTCCAGAAATAATATATTATATCTGATTTTATAAAAAAGCAATTTAGTAATAACTCAAATTATTAATAATATATTAACTAATATAAATTATACTTACTTTTAAAAACAATAAAAATTCAATTCAAAATTCTTTTAATAACTTAATAACTTTTCTTTTTCTTGCTTTTGGTAGATCTATCTGGTCACAGTTCAATGGGCTAAGGCAGGATAGGGCTAACCTATGATCCACGGTTCAACTTTAGCTGGGGACAATTTATATATCCCAAATAGGGACTTTGTGTCACTGCCCCTGTAACTCGTAATAGAGAGTGATTTGGGTTGTTCCAGCAATCAAAGAGCCTTATAGGTAGACTACACCCCATAGGTCGAAAAGATAGATGATCTGATTGGTAAACTTTTTGATCAAGTATTGCCTAGGAAATACCTTTAAAAGGGAGAAGAAGTTTCATGGGATCTTTCCAGTAGCGGAAAGAAAGGTACAGATGGCTAAAACCATTAATCGCACAACTATTAGTAAGAGTTTCACATGTCCAATGGTAGCGAGGATCTGGTCGAGGGTGCAGGAGATTGCTTGTATTACAGGATGTTCTATTTTAAGGGATACACTTGTGATGGTTGACTGCATAACTCCATAAAATATAACTTCCCATATATGTTACTAGGTTAGATTAGGAAGGTTAAGGCTGGATCTGATTTCCAGATGGATTTGGTATACTGATGTACTCTCATCCCACCAATGATATTTCACTGACTAAATCCTAGTAAGTCTTGGCTAAACTGAACAGTTGAAAAACGGTAGTAGGTGGTTACCGGCAAAAATCATCAAGTTGATAAGGATATATTAGCTTGTTTGTAGCAAAATTTTCATTTCCAATGTTTATACTGTTGGCGGGGAAGTGATGTGGGGCGTGACGGCACAAACATGTTCCGGCACGTCGCGTACCCTGATTTTCATCAGTAGATTATCTATAGTCTATAGCGACATGATATAATTTTAGAAGCTTAAATTAGCCATGACTTT